GCCCGGCAAGCGCTCGACGTCCGTCGGCGGCAAGCCCAGCCCGACGAAATCCCTGCACGCAACCGTGACGCCTCCTGACAGGCCTCCAGCCTCGGTGACCTCCGACGGGTGAATCGACGCCTGCCAGCCTAGCTTCTTCAACTGAGCTTCACAATCAACTCGATCCGACGGGTCGACAGTTAGTTCCTGAAGCATGACGATCTGACTCGATGCTTCCCCCTGGAGAAACTGCTTCGCCGAGGACCAAGCCGTGGTATTACAGGTTTCTAGACAGAAAAACTCTCCCTGGCTAGACCTGGACGATTTATTCTTACTCTGCCCTGGCTGGGCAGACCTAAACTTACGAACTAGTTGTGGCCCTGTAAGAGGCCTGGCACCAGGGGGGAGGAAGAGCTGGGGACGGCAGATCGGGGGGATGGGATGTCGGCGGGGGCGGGGGCCAAACCAGGGACCGAAAGAAAATCCCAGGCGGCCGCGACGGACCCGCCGCCGCGTTGCCCCACCAGCAGGTGGGGCAAGGCAGGCTGCTACCCACCAGACGTTTTCCCCTGGGCCCCTCCTGCCGCCCCAGACGCGCCTGGGACGCCTCCAGCTTCCCTTCCAGCACCGCTTCCTCCTCCCTTGCTTCCAAGAGCCTCGGCGGCCCTAGCACGCACATCAACCTTGGGTGAGCTGGCCGTGGCTCCGCCACCGCCCGAGCCTCGCTCAGGGCTGTCGCGGGCGTCAGGGCCTCGCAGCAGCTGGAGGAGCAGCACCGCCAGGCGGCTCCGCTCCGCGCTGCACGCCACCCTCGGAGTTGCCCTCGGCGCCCTTCCGCTTCTTCTGCAGCCTGCTGACGTGCGCGGAGTGTTCCTGTCGCAACTTTTCTGCGGTCTCCTTGGCCTCGCCGAAGAGCTGCTTCGCCATGTCCTGCACTCCTTTTCGCAGCTGCTCCTTCCTGGCAGCTGCCTCCTTCTTGTCCGTGTCGGTGAACTCGTATATGTCAGCGAGGCCGAAGAAGTCGTCGCAGCCGTCCAGGTCGATGCACGACGTGTCGCCTGCCAGCAACTGCTCCAACTTGATCTTCGGCGCCGCGGGCTGGTCGCTGTGGGCCTGGCTGCACATGGCTTTGAGCAGGCACTTATACTCGTCGTCCGCTTCGCCGAGCTTCGTCTGCAGCAGCTGGACCTCCGTCTCCTGGTCTGCGACCGCTTGGCGTAGCCGTCCCAACTTGTCGATCGCTGCCTCGAGCACCTTCTCGAGGTGCACGACCTGTGCGTGCGCTCTGTGCGCACGCACCTGCAGCGGCGGCTCCTTCGGCAGGACCGCCTCCTTCTGCTTGTACTCCAGCAACTTCTGGTACTTGGTGACCAGAGCGTGGTCGCCCGTCTTGGAGCCAAGGCTGATGAGCTGCTGGATCTCGTCCACCGAGAGCTGTGCGTCCCCGTTGCCCAGGCCAGGCGGGAGCTGCAAGCCGACCGAGCGGGGCGTGCCGTCCGTCGCGAGCTCGCCCTCCTCCTCAGCGACGGGCTCGTTCCAGGCAGCGTGGCAGTGAACACAGTACCAGGAGCTCCAAACGTTTTTCTTACAACCGCAAGTCTGACACTGCCACCTCCGATGGGGCCCCTTCGAGCCTCCACGCTTGTTGCTGCCACGCTCGTCGGCCCAAGACACACTCTTCTGGTGCCCACCTGCCGCATGCTCTCCCCAAGCCATGAGAGAACTCGAACAGGAATCTTGAGCCACGAGGTGTGGCCGGTAGACTGAAAAGTAGGACCCTCACCCTGGGCAGGGCCACTGATCGAGGGTCGTGCGGGTCTCTGACCAGCTCGAGCCCCAACCCCAGGGAAGGCGAAGGCCCCAGGCAACGGCTTGAGCCAAATGGCTACGGACTCCTCCTCCGCTCCTCCTCCTCCTCCTCCTCCTCCTCCTCCTCCTCCTCCTCCTCCCTTTCCTCCTCCTCCTCCTCCTCCTCCTCCTCCTCCTCCCTTTCCTCCTCCTCCTCCTCCTCCTCCTCCTCCTCCCTCCCTCCTCCTCCTCCTCCTCCTCCTCCTCCTCCTCCTCCTCCTCCTCCTCCTCCTCCTCCTCCTCCTCCTCCTCCTCCCTCCTCCTCCTCCTCCCCCTCCCCTCCTCCCTCCTCCCTCCTCCCTCCTCCCTCCTCCCTCCTCCCTCCTCCCTCCCCCCTCCCTCCTCCCTCCTCCCTCCTCCCTCCCCCTCCTCCTCCTCCCCTTCCTCCTCTCCTCCTCCTCCTCTCCTCCTCTCCTCCTCCTGCTCCTCCTCCTCCTCCTCCTCCTCCTCCTCCTCCTCCTCCTCCTCCTCCTCCTCCTCCTCCTCCTCCCTCCTCCTCCTCCCTCCTCTGGCAGAAATACTGGTTACCGGCATGTTTCTCGGGAACTTCTGGACAGGGGATCGGCTTCGAGAGTCGGGGTATTTGCACAACGGAAGTTCTCCTTTGTGTGGTATGCCAGATTCCCTTGTCCACAGGCAGTGGTTTTGCGACGCTGGGGAGATCCGCCAGACTCGCATTGATTGCGTTGGTGAGGACATCATCCTCGAAACTCGCAGCAAAGTTTATGACGATCCTCTGTTCTGGTCGCGTTTGATCGTCGCCCAGCCGCATGGCATCCCTGATCCCTCCTGGGACCTCGACCCTATCCTCCAAGATGCCGACGGCCAGGCGATCGAGATCGACCGTTTCCTGGAGCTGATTCGAGGGTGCGATGTCGTTGTAGACGGCTCTGCCACCCAACTGATTTTTCGTGAATTGAATCGAGCTGCTTTAGCGGCTGTTTTTTTTTTAAATGGTTCGGGGGGAAGATAACGTCATCCGTGCTCGCATCATTGGAGTCGTGTGGCCAACCTTGTTTCAAATGCTCCAATCTGCAGAACATCTGGGGCGGGCTTGCCACGTTGAGCTCGCATGTTGATGGTGCTTGTAGCTCGCCTAATAGCGACTCCCTGGGAGCCGTTCGTCTGCAGAATTCCAGTTTGAGGGAACAGTTGTCCCCAACGCAAGTGTTTGCAGGTTTGCGGCGAATGGCCATGGAGAGTGATCTTGATAAACTCCTCGGCCTGGCGCGGCACACCGCAGCCCACCGTTCAGAGGGGGTGATCGAAGCTCTGCCGGTTGGGGAGCGTCGCATCGCCCAGGGCAACCAAGACGCTGACAGGCTTGCCAAACATGCTCTTACTCTGCACCCAGGGGCTTCGGCAGAAGTCCTTGAGGCCCTTGATTCCTTCAGCGTGCGTACCAAGATGCTCGCCAACATGTTTTCTGCTGTGCTATCCTGTTATCCCAAACTTGAGTTCCGCCGCCCACCCAAGGGCCACCGACCAAGGCTGGTCAGAGAGAGGTCTGAGCGGAAGCGTTTCACCGCTTCTTTTACGGAGGACCGTCCCATGACGGGATGTAAGGGCCTTCCCACGGCCATCAGAAAACTTCGTGGAGCGGAGGTGCGTGGCCATAAGCTCGGTGTCGCGATTGTCCAGGATGCAGCGTCCCAGCCTCTAGTTGTTTGCCTGCGGTGTGGAGCGTACTCAAACAAACGCTGTGTACGCATTGCTGGCGATTGCCCCCCGCAGATCCCCAAGAGCGGTGAGCAAACCTCGTACCGCATTCGTCGTGGTTTACACCCACACTACTCGAAAGAGGCAGCGGTTGACTCCACAGGTCGGCCCGCTATTTCGTTCTTGCTCGAGGCTGCTACTGCGTCCACACCGGCACCAAGCAATTCGAGAACCAGGCTCATCCCGACCTCGGGGATGTTGGCACTGGCCGACCGCGTAAAGGCGCGGGAACTGGCAGCCACATCTTCGTCTTGTTGATGTTCCGTTTGTCGTACCTTGTTACGTTCTGCTCTGACGCCCTCGAGGAAAAAATCCTCCTCCTCCTCCTCCTCGTCCTCCTCCTCCCTCCCTCCTCTTGCAAACCCCATCATGTCGCGGATGCCACCAGGTAGGTCGCAACCACCTCCTGAGGAGGGGAGGAGGACCGCAGCACCCCTCAGGGCACCCCACCCCCCAGAACGAGCATAGACATCCAAACGCCTCTCCGATCCTCGATCCTTCATCAATCTCCTGATCCCCGATCGGCAGGGGAAGTGGAGGAGGTGGCGACCCCACACAGGGTGACCCGATGGCGCTGCATGCCTGAGGGGTAACATTAGAAGGAGACTGGCTCAGAGGGGGGGGGAACATCGACCTGGAATCAGCGATCCATCTCCGATAGATCGGCGACAGGCCCCAAATAGCGAAGCCGCACGATCCTGGGCGGAGCGGGCTATTGGGCCCCGATCGGCGATCAATGCGCGAAGGGGGTTGATGCACCCCCCCCGGGTCAGATCTGCTCGAAATCGGTCCCCGACCCCTCCCAAGGCCCAGGGCCCATCTGGTCCCGTCTTTTTGAGGCGGAGCCGGCCGTGGCGACGAGAATCCCCTAGGAGACCCCCAAAAAGACGAAAAAGGTCAGGCAGAGCCACCGTTGTCTCGTCTAGTGCCCCCCGAGAGATCCCCAGATAGTTTTGCTCTGGCAATCCGCGGCCCGAGAGCCCCAAACCCCATCTCCAGGAGAGTTTTGCGTCCCGGACTCATCATTGATGGTCCGAGGGCCCGATGACGGGCACCAGAAGCCGAAAGCGGGGGAAGCACGCCCAAATAGGAAAAAACACAGATGGTCGGATGTCCTGGAAGCCAGGGCTTGAGATAAACGAATAAAGCGCCAGGGCTTGAAATCGAAGAAAAACGTCAGGCTTGGAATTAGCAAATGTCCTCGGAGCTCTGGGCCAGAGCCTATCCCCCGCGAACGAGGTCCCCTGGATGGCCCCCTGTCCCCTCGGCGGTTCAAAGACGGAGTCACGAGGGATGGGGTCCTGAGGACAAGGTGCCTCAAGCAATGTAAATCCACGCTTGGATCCCTTCCTCTCCAAAGGCCCCCATCCGTCAGGACCGGGTCTTTAAACCACCGACTCCCGACATCCCCCCCCCACCGGGCGCCCACGCCGCGGACCGCAGGCGGGGCGGGCCTTTCCAGGCCGATCGTGGGGCCTCTGCGCTACGGGCGGCACCCTCCCCGCCCTCCACCATCTTCTCCTCCTTCTCCCCCTTCCCCTTGTCCTCCTCGCCATCCTCCTCCTTTTGTTCATATTATCCGCCTCCTCCTCCTCCTCCTCCTCTTCCTCCTCCATTCCTTTTCCTTAAACTCCGCCCTTTCGCGCCCAGAGGCCGGTCGAAGGGACGGCTGGGCGTTTAGCCTGAGACTTCGCAGCCTGGCTTAAAGACAACAGTTTTACAGATGGAGGGCGAGTCGCTTCCGAAATATAGCACTCGCCTTACCGCCGCGCACACTCGTCTTAAAACATTGCACGGGTTTCACGGATTGAGGGCGGGTGGACTTCGAAATGTGGCTCTCGCTTCAGCGCCGCGCACATTCTTAATAAATTAGAAATCGTTTCACAATGTGAGGGCGGCTCCGTTTCAGAATGTGTCTCGCGCCTCAACGCCGTGCACACTCGTCTTACAAATGTGCAACAGGTTCCGCGGATTAAAGGAGGCTCCTTTTCCGAAATGTGGCTCTCGCCTTAGCGCCGCACAAGTTCGCCTTAAACATGTTCAAAAATGTCGCGGGTTCTCATGGTTAACATTCCAGGAATAGTTCGTTTCGAACGATTCGGGATTGCCAGGGCGCACCAATGACGTGGATGACTCAAGCAAATCGGGCCTGAGTACCTCGCGAACCACATCTTGGAATCCAGAGTTGTGTGAGGACGTCTCGAGCGAAACGAGCCAGAACACACCAAGTCCGGGCATCTCGGAGCCCGAGGTTCCGCGGATGGCCGTCTGTGGGCCATGGAGCGCACCCGGCACCGCACCTCCCAGGCACCGCCGATGGGGTTGCCGCGGTCGCCCGGAACTGCCCCGGGCGACCCGGGCACCCGGGCCAAGGTCCTTGAGGTGCACTGCCCCGCCCGCCAGCCAAGGCAAGGCCTGGACGTGGCCCAAAACAACCCCAAAAGCCAACCGAAGTGGCCAGCGAGGACCATGCGGCTCCGAACACACACCTTTACACCGTAAAACAAACGGACCTTTCAATCGAGACATCCCGACAATCTGGGCGCGAACGGGCCAGTGACGCACCCTTCGTCGGCAGAGCACTGGCCCGCATCACAAGGCACGATCGAGACGCATCCAGCCCTGGCGAGGAGAAGTGTCTCGAGAGCACTGAAAACAATAAATAGTACTTGTCTGACAGCAATACGAGCATCATCATTCCTCCCCCTCGTCCTCAGTCATCCTGTTCCTCCTCCTCCTGCCCCTCCTCCTTCGCTTCGCACTCCTCAAAGGTTGCTCGAAATTGCGGGGGCGTCTCATGCGAACCTGGCCGGACTCCCTCGCACGCGGCATCTCCCCGCCCAGTATTGCGGGGACGTCTCAGGCGAAACTGACCAGATTACCTCGCGGGGTGCGTCTTCAGGCCTAGCGTAGCGTTGTGGGGGACGATCAATGGATAGGAAGCATGTTACCAAATGATTTCCAAATGTCTAGAACATGTGCTTAATCTGTTTCAAAATGTAACAACAAAAATCAGAACATGCATCCGACATTTTAAACACATGTTAATTCGATGATAGGACTGTTAGGGTGTCCATTGTCGTGGCATCCACAAACGTAGCGACGATGACTCAGGCGAAACGGACGAAGCAACCTCCGAACCCAAAAGATCTGTGGATGCTTCAGGCGACGTGGGCCGAAACAGCTCTCGCGTAGCGTCTGGGAGCCGAGGGCTGCGAGGATCTCAAGCAAAACGGGCCAAACTGAGGATCTTTCATGCGAAACGGGCCGAACGACCTCAGCATGTTGCGAATGTCTCGACGCGCGGGTCCCTCGGGCGGCATTCGTTCTTACCGCAACAATGCCCCCCGGCACCAGCCGGGCGACCCGGGAAAACTCCAAGACAAAACGGCTTGAGCGGAAACAATCGAGAAGTTCTCGTACACCTAAAACACAGTACAGCGCATGCACATGCATATACACGTGTAAAGGGCGAGAGAGAAAAGGAGAGAGCGCAAAATATGAAAGAAAGAGAGATATAGACAGAGAGGGAGAGAGAAAGGAACAGACAGAGTTCGAAAGAAAGGCGCCGCGCCGTGTTCGCCGCCAGCCCCGAAACCGATCCCGTGGCGCGGCGCCCCGGCGAAGCGCCACGAGGCCATCTGACCCGCGGCGCCTGCGGTCGCCGTGCAGCGACATCGGAAGCGAGAGGGGGGGGGGAGCGGGAAGAGAGGGCGGAGGAGGGGGGTTCTGGGATCAGAGGAGGCCCACGTTTTCGGGCCGCTTCTCAAATCTACGTCGGGGAACGTCGTCCTTGCCAAGGCTGGCCGTGGCCAGGAAAGCGCCTGCATTATACATTTGATCGCTCCTGACAGTCGCACGATGGATGTATCCTAGAGGGCAAGATGACGAAGCCTCAGAACATTTACCCCCACAAGCAACCCTTGTTAGTAAGCGCACTTTGGATACAGAAACGAACTTGGCAGGATGGCCAGGTAAACGCCCAGGACTGTTTGGCAAACGCCAGGTATGGGAGCTGGGGTGCCGCCCTTGATGTACGCAGAAGCTCTCTGCCGCCATTTCTTTTCCTGGCCGAGGCCAGGAGGTTTGCAACTACACCATCTAGGGCCCACGGGATACGCCCTGGCCTGGCACAGCGGTGGTACAGGCGACTTCTGCGGAGGCGAGGGGGGAAGTCAAGGGGCATGGATTGGTACGGCGGGTTCGCGTCGTGACGACCCCAGCGTCGGTCTCTGGCACCTCGTGGATCATTAAACCTTGAACGATCAGCGGTTTCTCGATCGCCAGAAACTTCCATGTTGGACGACTCTGGGCCACTGACGACCTTCAACCTTCAGCACCCTTCGGTACGACGCGAATCTACCGTAATGTACGGGGCCAAACTCCCAACAGGAGCCCCACAAGAGGAAGCTGCAGTCTCGCTAGTTCCCGCACGCCCTCCTGCATCAGCAGTGGCACCCGAAACGCGTGAATAGGCAACAGTCGCCAATTCCATGGACAACCATTGAGAATCGATGCAATAGGTACACACGGTAAGAAATTCAAAGAAAATGAATATTGGGGCACATTCTTCGTCTATCAGTAAGGCTCCGAAGGCTCCCAAGAGACTATGTCGGCCCCTGGAGCCAGCGGGACATTAGAAAACTCCGTGGAGAACCTGCGAAAGGGGGAGGAGATGCGGGAGGCGGGAGGGGAAGGAACTGGAGAGGAGAGTGGGCGAAGTGAGAGGGTGGCGCAGTGGGACAGAGAAGGGCAGGTGGAAGCGCTGCAGAGAAAAGCAAGCCGACGGCGAGTGTCTCCGGGTCCGCAGGGGCGGGCGTCCAGACGCCCTCGACGCCCTGGAAGGCACGGCGCACTCTGCGACCAGGGGCCCCGGCGGCCCCCCCTCTTCCCTCCCTGGTCCCCCTGTGTGGGCAAGGGGGAAAAGAGGGGGGGGTCGCCCTCGCCCCTGTGAGGGGTGCCCTGGAGGTGAGATCCCGGGTCTGATTACCGCCCTTCCAGGGGGGATCGCCAGCGGGGGTCTGGCGGGAGATCCCGCCTAAGGGGGGGAGGATGGTCCCGGGTCAGAATGCCGCCCTCCGGGGTCCCGACGGATCCCGGGGGGGAGGCGCCAGCGTGGATCCCGGGGAAGGTCCCGCCATCAGGGTCGGCGGCACCGGCCGTAAAGCCTTCACAATAAAGAAAGCGCCGCGGAGCACCTGCAAAGGGAGAGGGGAGGCAGGAGGGGGAAGGAACTAGAGAGGAGAGCGGGCGAAGGGAGAGGGTGGCGCAATGAGAGAGGGAAGGGCAGGTGGACGAGTTGGCTTCACACAAGCCTGAGTGCCCGTGCACCTGGCAACCACAGAAAACAATCAAACAACTCACGCTGGTGGCAACGAGCCTGCGGCAGGCACCGCAATGGCGCAACAGCGGAACATCAAGGAGAAAAGTTGTGGTTCGCAACAGCATACTTGAAAGAGAAAGGGCCGCATTTGGTTGTGCACCGCCGATTTTCCCCACTACGTGGGGTTACGGTTTACATTCCTACACACGTCGCACTCGCGATCCACCCATCCCCATTCTCTTCCTTCCCTCTTACCCACGCACACGCCAGACGCGCGTGCACATACACACGCCACGACTGCACAGACACGTTAGACCCAGCACGCAGACATACACACAAGCGCATGTGCACATACGCACCACACGACACAGACGCAACAGGTACACACACAAACACACACACACACACACACACGCGCGCACACGCACACGCGCGAGCGCACACGCTCACACACGCACACACAGCACACACACACAAACGCGCACACACGCGCACACGCACACATACACGCACACACACACAAACACACACGCGCGCACACGCACACACACACACACACGCACGCACACGCGCACACGCGCACACACACACACACACACACGCACACACACAGACACACACACACGCACGAAAGCTCCTCCAGAGGCGAGGTGGCGGCACCGTCGTGAGTACTGTGGCGGGGCACACTGGGCGGGTCACGCTCAGTTCGATTCCACCTGTCGTTGCAGGCGGGTGGACTGCGCAGGGCGAGTCGCGTGCAAAAAAACGCCAAAGCGTGAGCACACGCAGGGGGGTCCACCAGCGGATCAGTTGGAGGAGAAACGCGCACATGTACGAAGAAGGAGGTGGTCGAGCGCGGTCACTCTCAGCAGCCACAAGGCAAGTGGCGCAAGGGCGAGAGAACGTGCGGCCTCGATAACACACACAGACTCGCACACAGACTCGCACACACACACACACACACACAGACACACAGACACACACACACACACATACACACATAAACACACACACACACACGTCACACATAGAGAGGGGGGGGGGGCGCAAGGGGGCGTATACGCTTCAGGCTCGAAAGGTGTGGCAGGAATAGAAGTCCTCGACACCGCAAAGTGTGCGCAGGGGGTGCGACCTCTATCCGTAGGCTCCCCGCGCAGGGGCACCTGAGCCTCCCCATGGGAAACGGGGAAGAAAAGAGCTCTCTCCTGAGGCGGCCAAGGCCACGGGGGCCCTCGCCACATATCATAGACCTTCTCCCCGTCCTCGTCGTCGCCCTCCCATTGCTTCGATTCCTCCTCCTCCTCCTCCTCCTCCTCCTTCTCCAACTCCTCCTCCTCGTCCTCGTCTCCTCCTCGTCCTCCTCCTCCTCTCCTTCTCCTCCTTTTCCTCCTCCTCCTCCTCCTGCTCCTCCTCCTCTTCTTCCCCCTGTCCCCCTCCTGCTACCCCAGGGCCGACTTATCATCCCGAGCTTTTCCAAGGCCAGCAGAAGCCCAGACAGGGCCCCCCGGAGGCCGAGAACGGCGAACAAGACCCAGGACCGTACGTTTTCAGTGCGTTAATGGCGTGGGCCTCCCTAGTAGAGGAAGAGCAAAGGACGAGGACAAATAGAAGGAGGAAGAGGTGCAGGAGCACGAGGACGAGGAGGATGAGAAAGACAAAGACGAGGAAGAGGAAGAGAAAAGGACGAGGATTACAACGGCGACGACGCCGAGGATCATGACAATGACGACGACGACGACGCCGACGCCGACGCCGACGCCCACGCCCACGCCAACGCCGCGCGCGACGCCGACGCCGACGCCGACGACGACGCCGACGACGACGCCGACGACGACGCCGACGCCGACGACGACGACGAGGAGATGGACGAGGAGGAGTGGCAGGAGGATCGCCGAGGCCGCCTCCGCGGCGAGAATGCCGCCACCGCTGCCCCCGCGCCGCGCGCGGCGCCGCCAGGCGGCGCCCGGCGCAACGCGCGCGGGGGC